GAGGAGGAGGAGGAGGAGGAGGAGGCGGCGCGCGCTGCTGCTGCTCTTCGGGCGCCGCCCCGCCCGAATTGTCACTCATAATTTCTTCATGTTTGGACCTGGTGATGTTCTTGTTACCACCACCAGTTACGTCGTGCTGGTAAACTGCAGGTCCTTATATTCTTAGCATAAAGATCTCAAAACCTAGTCGGAGTTCCCTGGTGTTTTATAACATTCGGACCATGATAATGTGTGAAGTGTTTAAATATGGTCGTTGCTGTAGCTTACAGAGAACCTAATGAAGTCTGTGCTGGCACATGGGTGACAAATTAGCAGTCATGCATTTTGATTGTGATTGTGCCTGAATTACACCTGCACCGCAAGTGCGGAAGTGCCCAAGCAGGCTTTAAGTTGCGTTGCGTACCAGGCCTCTTACAGCTGCCTGAGCATAAAACTTGGTTGTTTCCTCTGTACGCTGCAGTGGAAATACCGCTTGTTTGTGTTTGAATTTGCGTAACCTGGATATGTGTTTTGTTTCAGTTCTTCTGTGTGCTGAAAAATTAATGTGTTTCTGGCAGTCCAAACAAGTGGTTGATTATGATCGTAAATAAATTGCAGGGGATGAATAGCATATGAGAGGGCATCTTTCTGGTTTCAGTGATCAGAAGAAATACAGATATACTGAACTGTATCAGAGCAGGCCCTTCCACTTATGATGGATTTTATCTCCCATGGCTACGTGATGCAAACTTGGAAATTGTACAGCTTAGCAATGAATGTAGTCTGAATCCCTTCTTACTAGAATCTGAATGTCCTGCCATGCGCTCTTATGCAATAGCTGTTTGAATGTAAGAGGTAGTTCCTGCTTCATTATGAACTTTAGGGTCAGTTGTTTACTTTCTTATTCGTATATTGACCTTTAGTAGCAAAAAGCAGGGTAAATTCAAGATCAAAAACTAAATTTTCCAACCTGTCGAAATAGGCACTTGCTTGCTTTTTGATAGTCTTTCATCAAAGGGGGAAATGAAATGCAGAGTTTGTGATCTCCCGGGAGATATGTTTTCTGAATGTCTTCATATGCTATCAAAAACAGTGAAGTACAAACATGCTGATGACAAAATTTCTTTCTGGGGAGTGAAATGAATATAATTATTCCCATTCCTTCTGGTGGGAAGGAACTGAATGAAAACAGAGTCAGAATTTCCATGTAAACTCAGGTGGCTTACTAGTCTGTAGGTCTAAACTGTACATGCTCTAAGTAGATGTGTTACGTTGGGTATATTTGGTATAGGAGCTGAAGTTATTTTCGAAAGACCTGAGACATTGGACTGCTGAGAATCCATGAACGTTTGGACTGAAAAAAAAAGTGACAGATCTCAATTTAAAGTAAGAGGCATCATCCTTTGCTCAGACTCGAGTATCCCTGTAGAAATTGTTTCTGCAAAAAATATTCCTAAATAGGAAGTTTAAAATGAGTGTAGGATTACGGGAATTCTCCTTTGCCTCCCTCCTCTTTAACTGTGACCTTGTGGGAGGGTGCTGAGGTAGCGAATCTCTATTGTCCTTCTGCACTGAATTAATTTACAGCAACGCAAACAGTATCAAAACGAAACCAAAGGTTCTGCTGCTTCTGAGAAATGCTGATTGCCATCTATGATTTCTCTTTGCATTGCCAAGGAAGAAATTGATTGCATGAAGAGGAAGGGAGTGGAGGAAGTTCATAGGTCAACAGGCTGTCAAGGTCTGCAGACATGGTATATTTGGCCCCTGTAAGAGGAAAAAGCATTCTGTTGTTTAGGCTTGACCCGGGCACTACACCTTTAAACCTTTAAGGCAGGTTTAAGTGTACCATGGGCATAAATGCTGGAGTCCAGAACACTTCGCTGTGGAAAACTTGGAGGGGGACTCAGAGGATGTAGAATTTGGGCTTTGGTGCCCACAGGGATATTTAAATATTTAAATTCACCTTGCGTATCCAGTCTGTTAAAGGTATGAAGGCTTTTGAGTATAGTTAGTTTTGTTTTCTCTTTTATTGCAAGTGGCATGTTGTTAGGTGTACCAAGCGTTGGTTAAGTGATAATCCTAAATGGAATAAAAAGATGCATCTGAGTCTTTTCCACTCCTTTTCCCTCTTCTTCTGTTTCAGTTTTTTAGGAATGTTCTTAATCATTTGTAGGCATTTTGAATGGCAATAATTTTTTTTCAGGAAAAAAAGGTAGTAAAACTTGCAAATAATTATACCTCTGTTATGTTTAGGTACTTTTGTGTTTTACGTTGCTTTACAGCATGTGGATCCCTTTATGTTAAAGGTTGCATGACAGCAAGCATTACTGTGTCACATACCATTTCTTGAGAACAGACAGGGTTGCTATTTTAGGTTTGCAAGGAAGCACAGAAAACATGAGATTTTTAAAGCAGGTGAAACTATTACTGATCAATAGCTAAGTTCAGCATCAGAGAATGGAGCACTCATTTAGGATTTCAGTTCTTTTACTTTGAGACACAGAGCTCAGAGCTAGGTCACTGAAATCTTAATTTTTGCTTAGGAACTCAAGTGATTTATTACCCATATAAATCAATTACCCTGTTTTTTTTCTCCAGCCATAAAGTATTTGCCATAAAGCAGAAACCATAGCATTTTTGCACTCGTTACTAATCATGTGAGGCTAATTAAGACAGTTTTGTGTACTCTTGTACAGAGTGTAATACTGTTCTGTAAATCAAAATTAAACTTCTTGTGCATTCCCTTACTTCATCTTTTCTGTGTGTTGATCTTTGATTGAATTAATATGAAAATAAATGATCTTTACCAGAACTGCGTGGAAAGATTAAATGTTAAGGAAGGACTATCATAGTTAAATTGGGTGTTGGTTTTGAATATTGGCCATACTAGGTGAATAAATAATGAATGCTCAACAAATAAAGAATCAAAAGCAGAGGTGGGCATAGGGTATATTACAATTGAATCACAAACAGAAATTGATACTGATTTGGCTATTTGCAGTTGCTTTAGGAGAAATGAAGAGAAAATGGGAAGAAAGACTGAAGAAAGTTGAAGAACTAGCATCTCACTATGAAAGAAACCCTCTTCTTCCAGTTTACAGACCAAAGCTGTCCAAACCTTTTCAACCATCCCCTGTTTGGAAAATATTTTGTCGGCAGGCTGAAGCTTTTCACTATGTAAAAACCTGTGAAGAGGTACATCGTTTGTTAAATGTCTTTGCTCTTTGAGTACTTTCAATATTTGATTTCATTTAAAAGCCTGGTTAATAGTAAAGTCTTTAGCAGATTGCAGGATACTTTTGTTTTGAAAACCTGAAACGTCAATTAATTTTTTTGATCTTTGTAGAAGATCATGATGCACTGAAGTGAACTCTAATAAGTACTAGATAATAAGAATTGTACTCTAATAAGAATTGATATGTGATGTTAACTTGAAACAGCAGAGGTGCTTTCTGGCAACATTGATAGATTTATTCCTCAAGATAAGCAAGCTGGCAGGGTTAGCAGGAGAATAGTAAAGAGAGTCAGGTAGGAAGAAAGAGGAGAAAATATTGGGGGGGGAGGGGGGAGGAAAAAAGAGGTAGAAACTCAGCAAAATATATATATTTTTGTGTATTGGGTAAGCATTTGGAAGCAAAGCCTCAACAGCAAGAGGCACTATTTTTTGCTATCTATTCACTTAAAAGGATGTACACATAAATGTCCTGCTGCCACAGATTTCCTGTGCTGGCTGTGGACAAGACAGTTTTAGGCTGCCTCTAGTTCCCCACATGTGAAAAAGGCACAGTTTTTTGTTGTCCCGTGCTGCAGGAGATACGGGGTCTGTTACATTAAGAGTGTAAAATAGTCAGATACTGTGACTTTGGGGGCTTTTAAAATAACTTATTGGAAGGCTATTGCTCTCAGTCTCTTTCAGACTGTTCTGACAGTTGGTTTTCCTAAACATATTCTCACCAGCTCAGCAGTGGTTTTTTTTTGGTTTTGCCTTTGGATTTCTATTTTTGGATTTAAATAATATAGAATCTAAGGAATATTTGTTATAAAGCCATATGCAGACATCACATCAGTGAGAATATTCTTTACAGAACATTGTTTCTCCTTCCATTAAATGCGCTTGCTGTGATCAGAAAGAAAAAAGATTTTACTGAGCAAATAGAATTTACATTGATGTAATTTCATCATAGGTTTGTTAATCTCAACTTATTCAAATTTATAATCACATAACTGAAATTAGAAAGAACTTCTTAATTAAAAACAGATGTTTCTTAGGTTAGAAAAGGGTAAGTGATATACTTAGTTTTCTCATTTTTTTACTAACTTTTGATGAAATAAGTTAGTGTCAGGAACTTCTGAAAATTTTAATTAATTCTCTAAATAAAGCAACCTAACTTTTTGTTTGTTTGAAAAGGATGTTCATGTATTTGCCTTGGAAAAGAACACACAAAATGGACAGAGGTTTTACCTTGTGACAACATATTATGAGCTTTGGTTTTATTATGCGTAAGTATTCAAAAAAGACCCCTATACTTTACTGATGGTCGGTCAGTACAGCTCTGAGTAGCACAGAGCTGTAATAGTTTGCCTGAGGTTTGATCTTGGCCTTAGGTAAAATCTACATAATGAAAAATCATTCTATTATATAGTGTTTTCAACATTTTTTTTTTGAGTTGCAAACCTCCATTATTTCCTATGAATTGAAGTCCTCATGTCTAGTGAACTTAAATCTAATAGCAGTAGATTTACTTTTCCTGCTAGCTTTCTTCAGAGGATCACACTGACATACAATACAAATATATTTCCATGATTAGTGATATATCAGTTTAAATGCATATTAATATAAATGTCTGATTAACAACATACAGTTTTGCTTTGGCTTGATGAACAGTTTCAAGTATTGACAATCTGATCATGCACTGAATATCTTCAGTGGTTTTTCACAGTAAAACATCTGGTTATGAAGCAAAAGAAATCTAAGGTTTTGGTTTTTTTTTTTTTTTTCCTCAACTTGAATATGGGAATAAATTTTCTCAGTTTTTAATTTAGTTTAAAAAATTATAAATAAATTCATTTTTAGTGCTTAAGTCATAACCCTGATATTTTATGCTATCCTTTTATTGTCATTTCCATCATTCCTTAAATTCTGGACAGCATTTCTGTTGGCAGTGGGTATTGTAAGACTTTGGGGGTGGGCTTATGAATCTAAATCCTAGGCCATACATCAGCAAAGTTTCTGAAGTTAGTTACAAATTTTTCAGAGCAGTATAGGGCTGTTACTTACATTTGTTTTAGTACAGGTAGTTGGTTTAAAAAATAAAAGAATATTTAGGACTGTGGGGTTCTTGTTTGCAATTAATAAGCGTGTATACTGTTTATTATGAGAGGCTGTGATTTGTTTTTATTTTTCCTTAGCAAAGGTTATAAAACAAGTCTTATGCATTGCTATGAAGTAATTCCTGAAAATGATGCTTGCAAACTTTATTTTGATTTGGAGTTCTACAAACCAGCAAATCCTGGAGCTGATGGCAAGAGTATGGTTGCAAAGTTAATTGAGGTAAAACTAGAACAAAGCCAATGCATCATGTTTAGGTTAACATGAATTAATTGTTGGTTTAATATGAAACCAAAGTATTTCCCACTTTATATTTTTGATTATTCTGTAGTAAAATAAAAAAAATGATTGTGTCGTTAGTGAATGTTTTAAATGAAGTGAAAAGTATGCTGTTAATTAAAGCAAAGGTCTCCTACTTTAAATGAAGGGGAAAAAGACAGCGGATGGTGGTTGTTGGAAGGCTTGTATTCAATATGGGTTTCATTGACACGGTGATTTTGTTTTATCGAGTCGTGCTATTGGCTTATGTGCTCTGCGACTTAAGGCTTAGATATATCCCTCCTAATTTTAGGTACCATCAGATGGCCGTTCATTATAGTTGATCTAAATGATTACGTAGAGAACCTCAGGTGACTGCACCCATCGTTTTGGTACCTAAAGTTTTCTTGTCAGGTAATAAATTATCAAAATCTTTGATAAATATCAATTTTATTAAATAGTGCAAATTCCCATTTAACTGCAAATTTGCTCAGAAAAGAAGCTCGACTGCAACTTCAGTATATCAGAGGTGGAAAATAAAGCAGGTTTTTAGAACATCTGCTGTTCCAGTAAAATCTCCTTCTCAATGACCATTTATTTGTGAGACTTCTGATACTTGCATGTCTCAAGCTAGAAAGGACAGAAATAAAATAAAATAAAATGAAATAAAAAAAGATTGAGGTCTTTCCTCTGTAAAGGCCCTTAGTTGGTATGGAATCTGGGAAGATTTACTCCACGGTGGATCAGTTCCGAAATCTAGAGATTCCTGGGGGTTCCTAGCTAGATTCCCTAGCATTTGCTGGTGGAAGATATGAGACACTCAAATCCAAACCTTCTGGACTCTTAGGTTCTAATTACCAGTCCTAAACATAAGTAATCGCAAACTTGTAGAAGGCTTGCGGAGCTGTTACCTGGATTTCTGCTTATTTAGTGCTCACTGGGTCTTCTGATGTAAAAGACTGGTATTCACTGATGTGTTTAGCCTCTGTCTTAGATTTGAGGTAAGCCCTGCCTTAGAAATAACGTCACTGGCTGGTTGAACTGCATTGTGGACAAAGACAATTTATAGGTAAAGCCACTAAATTAGACTTTGGTCTGAAAAACTGAGAATTTGCTCATCTTAGCAATGTTAGTACACTCAGTCACCTGTTCAATTCAGAAGGTACAATCTGTGTCACATTTTGGTTAAATTTGGCATGTCACCTTTTGGTGAAAATTGGCAAGTTTTGAAATTTTTTGGTTCACTTGAGTTAATTGCATGCTCAAAATGAGGAAAAAAGAGTGAAAATAAGATGTAGAATCTGCATTTGTGTTAGAATTTAGATCCCTATTAAAAATACTGGAGAAAATTGACTAATTAATGCTTACAATTTTCAGCTTGTCAGCCGAAAGCTAGAAGAATTTTATGATGTTAGCTGTTCGGCCAAAGACGTCTTGAATTTAGATTCCAGTACTGATGAAAAATTTAGTCGACACTTGATATTTCTACCCCACAAGACTGTATTTAAGAATAATATTCATGTTGGTAAGTGTGTTCTTTTCTCTTACGCACTAAAAATAAAAGGTGAGGTTTTGCTGTTTTATAGTGCCTTTGGCACTTGAATATTTATTTTAACAGAGTTATATGTGGAAACAAATATGTGTTCACAGCAAAAATGACTACATATTTATATTTTGTTAAGCGTCTCTATTCCTCAACTCATCGTCTACTTTCATTCTCTATGATTAGCCTTTTTGTTCATAAAAATGTAACCTCCTTATGTGCCTACGTGTTGTATTTACAAAGCTGCTGGTAAGGCTGGCTTTTACTGTTCAACTGCTTAGCTTTCAGATTAATGTATGTCTTAATGATTAAATATAAGGTTATTGGCCCTAAGTACAGCTTGTTTATGCTCAGCACAGGGTCAGAAAGGTAGGGCAAAGACAGCTTCGAGTCACCTGTGCATAAACATGATTTAAGAAAAAGCAGAAAGCAGTTTTAGTTGTTGACGTAAATTGTGATCTTTCCTGGGATATGGCAGCTCCAACACACAAAATTGCCAGTTCAGGGTTGCTTGTTGGTTTGTTTGATTCGGCTCCATTTGTTGAATAAGTATAGTAATATATTCTCATTTCAGAAAGTATTTTGAACTTACTCTAAAATACTGTTTGTGAAGCACTGAGATGTTAGTAATGAGCTGAAGAAGTTGATGTTGGAATTCATAGTCTCTTCTGAACAAATTTTCTATGGCATGCAGTAAAGCAGGCTTATACACATTGAACAGAATATGAATTCAGTCATGTCTGAATGAAGCAGGAGCTGATGGAAAACAGCTTGCCCAGTGATGACAGTAGAATCTGAATTAGCTTGTAAATGCAAGAAGATTGGGTTGTGCACCTGCAGCCTTGATTTTGGCATTTCCTAATATTGAAGTGCTTGATTTTGAAACTTTGTTCCTTATTGTGTTTTCTTTAAAAGGCTAATCGGAGGAGAGAGAAGAAGTAGAAGTGCTGTCATATGGCACCATATTAATAATCTCATGGGTTACTAGCAGGGATGGAATTAGCTTTGTGACATTGAGATCTGGCATTCATGTCCGGGGTAAATGTGACAACAGCAACGGATCTGCACATGCCAGAAAGAAATTATGTCCTTTGTTAACGGGTTTCCAATGGCAGCAGAATAGAGGGAAGAGTTGTGGTTGTTGCTTTTATAACTTTGGTTCCCTGTCTGGTTCCCGCTTCTGTTCTTCTGTCTGGTCATGATCTACATGGCTGTCTTCATGCTCAGTCTTCCTTTTCCTTTCTCACCTTTATCTCCTTTTTTTAATCTAGTTTCAACCTCTGCACCTTCCCTCATTCCAGTCTTGAGTATAATTTATACTTTATTTCTTCTTTTTTACACTTTCTATATATGCAAGGTAGCTTCTACCTGTGCCCTGTGTGTGCCCTAACAGGGAACTATGGAGAGCACAGGGAAAATGGGCTATTTGCTCTTAGTTTTGTGCCAGGCCCCTTTTTTAGCCCAGTACAGCATTAAAGAAAGTCTTATTTTTCTTTTGGATTGTGTCCAGTCGTTTTTGTGAGGACAACACGCGTACTGTTGCATCAGAGTTGTGTGAGGATGGCACGTTTCTTCTGTTGCTCTGAGGAATTGTGTACAAAAGGTCTTGTTAGCACAAACACCAGGAGGAATAAAGTAAACTCTGTAAGGAGAGGCTGGATCTTGTAGGCCTCTGTGTGCATGTATAAAATCAGTTTTTGTTTTGGTTTTTTTGCAGACGTTTGTAATAAAGGCACGTGGGCGTTGGCGTAAAGGTCACCCCAGAGCAAAATTCAGATCCTTGCCCCAACACGAAGAGGCAATAGGATTTCTCAGAAATAAAGTTTGTGTGTGTGCGTGTGTGTGTGTGTGTGTGCGTGTGTGTGTGTTTTGTTTGTTTAAGATTAGAAAACCTATTTCTCTTTTCTGGGAAGCAATGGAATCCGTGTTCCTAAAACGTTTTAAGGAACAGCTCAAAGTAGACACAAGGCAAGCTTAAATAGTGTCCCAACGTAACAAGCAACTGCTTATAATACTGGCTGCCAGCTCAAAACATGACACAAGGCAGTTATTTCTCGCATGACACCGTAGTGTCAATTAAATAGGATCATAACAATTTTTAGTACAAAAGCATAATCATTAACTCCTCTGCCACTATAAAACTCTTTAAGTAATACCTGGAAGACAAATAATTCGGTGTGACGGCAGTTTTAGTCTGTGATCTTGATAACTAAATTACGTCAGTCAGCTCTTTCAGTAAGAGCTTGAGCTATTAATTCTAGTGCATTAGTTAAGTGGTTTGTGCCTCCACTGTGAAGTGGATTTGACATGTTTACTGTCATAATTAAAAATGTGTTTAGAGACTGTCTGTATTAAAGTCTTCTGCCTTTGCCTTTTCAACAAGAGGTTAAAGTTGCAGTGAAAATCGATTTCTGGAATTGTGATATGTAAGTGTCAGTGGTAAATTTGTGCATGTTATCAATGAATATTACACTTCAGACTACTCATTAAGGCATTTTAGTAGGCTACTTGACAAACCTGGCTTGAAGCTTATTAGCTTTATACTTCAAGTACTGTGCAAAGTGCTCTGACGTAGTGAATATATAGAAATGTAGATAACTTCATAAAGTAATTTCACAGCATCTGTATGAAAATACATATAGTCTTGGATGTGACAGAAGCTTTTTCATCTATTTAACTTAAGAGTTAACATATTTTTCAGACACATTAAAGTGTTTTTAGTTCATCATTGTGAAATGAGGTGTAATAAAAAATACTGTATGATAATTTATTTTGTGGTGTTACAAATCATACCTTTCTGTCCTTTGTGACAAACTAGAAAATGAACTATCACATCTTAGATAATATTTTTTCATAAGAATTTTGTGTCAGGAGTCATGCATGAAGTGGTGGCCTAAAATTAAATTTGGTTTAAAAAGTAAACTTTTATTATGTAACCTTTGGAATTAGATACTAATTCGAATTAAAATACAGGGCTTGAATTCATGGCACATGTAAGAGAGCACAGTAAGAGTGCCGTGGAGATCAATGAATTTACATTAATATATATCGATGACAAATCCCAAATGTAAACATACAAAACACAGACAAGAAGCAAACGTGTGAAATACAGGGTTTCGTTCCCACATCTGGTGAATCTCATCAATTAGAAAAAGAGGGAAGAGGGAAAACAAAGATGTGTGTAAATCATAAAGAAACTAATCTGGCAAATAATTTTTCATTGAGAAAAAACATGCTATTCTGACATGGGAGTGATTGTTACTTAATTACGTGTACAAAAAAAATGGATAGTGCTCAACCAGGACTTTTAAAGACACTTTGACTTTTAAAGACACTTTAACTTTTATGTTAGTTAAAATAAATTTCAATTCTGAAATAGTTTGAAAACAATATTTAGTTACTTCAGGGAGAAAGCGGACCTAAGAAATTCTTGCGTGCACATTGAACACAGTGGGTTAAATACTGTCTGTATGAACTACTGCCAAATCATTTGTGTGCTTTGGTAGTCCGGTGAAATAATGAATTATGAGGATGGTGATATTAATGCTTGAGATACTGTCAGTGAGCGCTGTCAGTCATTCTGCTGATAGGCAGCAGAGGAGGACCAACGGTACTTAGTATTCCTCCAGGTTCCCCATTGAAGCTTCTTCCAACAACTGCAGAATCTACCTTGCCAGTGTTCTTTCTACTCTATAATAGTTTTCCTTCCATATCCATATCTATTCTCCTCTTTCTCCCTGCAAGTAGTTTGGCCACGCTTTTAATTTTTCTGTCTTTGGCTACCATTTAACAGAGCCCGAATTACAATGGGGGTATACTAGGAGCTGAGGAAGTGTTTACAAAATAACTTTTGTAAAAGTAATTTGTCATTCAGATAAGCCCTGATCAAACTCTGTTATATCGGTTAAAATAGAGACTTTGAATTCAGTTCAGAGTTTTGGTTTGGGAAACTGTAGTGACAGTCTGTGCATTTCTGCTTCATTGTTTTGTCTATTTCTAGTGAGGTAATGGCCAAACCAACTCAAGTTCTCTACCGGTACACAGAGAAATATGCATGCACGCTTTCATTTAGTCTGTTAGGGTAGTAAAATTGCAAAGGTGAAGACAGTGGTCATATGATACAACTAATATAGGAACAGTTTTTTATTTTCTCTTGTTTAAAAGAAAATTGTTTCAGTAAAATTCTTGCCAAACATGGGTTTCTTAGACACTATCCAGAAATACTTTGTGCGTTGTACTTGTCCAAAAGGTTTTTGTTTGTTTTTTAAATAAGAATCTGGGGGGCGGGGGGGAGAGACTCAAACCCCAAATACTTCCACCTTGGCTGTTTTGAAAATGTTCGTGCAAGAACTATTAAGTTCTTTCTTGATTCATGAATTTAAATTCTCTTTTCTTGTTTTTAAGGTAACTTTGTGAGAACCATTTTGCAGCCTGCCGTGGCGTTAATGGAGAGCAAAGCTGCTGCTCTGATTCCAGAAGAAGGAGCAGGATATGTTTATCGGTGTCCTGCACCAGCAGGTGGATTAAATAGTTCTCTTAGAAACCTCCCAGCACTAGAAGATGCTTCTAGGAGCTGGCCATCTGTTGCTCACAAAACAATGGAAATTGAAACATCACACCAGGGAGAAAATTCTGAGTTTTCCTTCCTAGTAGTAAATGACAAAGAAGGAGGCAAGCAACTTTTTGTGGATCTAGGTAAACATCATAAGTGCTTTTAAACCTGTTTGGGATGTATATTGGAATGCAACAAAGGTTAAGAAATAAAATATTCCTTAACCTTTGATTACAGCATTGCTTCTTCTTGTTGTGGTTCAGAAGTACAGAATTTAAACCAAATACCAGGCATGCTGAAACAGTAATCATAAAGGCTGTACTTTAAAGGAGCCTTAGGTTCTTGGCACATAAAACTCTTTATATTACTTCATGTAATAATACTGTTCTGAATTTTGGAGAAATTCTGGCCACAGAAGACTTTTATTCTCAGTTTTGTTCCTTAGTGGTCTAATGTTCCTAGTGGGTTCCTTAGTGGTCTTAGTGTTCCTAGTGGTCCTTAGAGGACTTAGTGGTTGGGTGTGGTGGGTTTGTTTGTTTCTTTATTTTTTATTAAAGAGGGACAGCATGCATGGCATTTTATCATTTCAGTTGAGCAGCATAATGCTGGAACAAGTCTTACAGGTGTGGCCTTTTGAATGGTTATACATGTATGAGTTGAGCCTTCTTCCTATGTTTAGAGTGGCAGTTGTTATAATTTGGTGACAGAATAATAATAAGCGCCCAGGGGCTGGGCGCTTAATACCCAAGGCAAGGCAGGACCAGCTGTACTTAGCCCATTCGTACTATTAAAATGTTAAAAACCTTCAGGATCGCAACTCCCACGGGCAAACCAAACTTGCAATTTGAAAGTTCAGGCCTTCCCCGTCCCCGTGTCTGGCTTCACATTTTTGTTCAGCAATCTTTTATGCACTTGAAGATTGCTTATCATATTTTCTCTCGGACTTCTCTGAAGAACTCCCGTTCCTTCAAATTCTTCTCAGGAATTTGGGAAAGCAGGACTGGATCATTTTTACTGTTGGTCTCAAAAGTCTCTGCAGTATGTCTTATTTGTTGAAATGTAATCCCAAAGTGGGCCCTAGAGGAGGCTTCTCCATTACTAAATCAGAAGATTACTTTATGTATCTAATACATAATGCGACTATTACAAATTCCTTTAAGTGTATTAGTGAATAGAAATTAAAGAAAAACAAATTGATTTCTGTGCCATTTAACTTCCCCCTCTAAAAATTTAGTGTAAAATTTAATAAAAATTTAGTGTGAAATTTAGTAAAAATTTGGCTAAAAATTTAGCCAAAAAATGAAAATAATTACGCTATCCACATTACCTCAAAATTGGAAGGCTAGAATCAAAACAACTGGAATATGGCTGCAATGATAGAAGGGGATGTTATATTCTTATTATACAAGCTCTGTTAGTCCCTTCATCTTTGTGAAAATTAATTGGAACCCCCAAATTAAGCACCCATCTCTGCAATAAATTCTTAGACGAATTAAGCAATGTTTACTACATCCATTTGGCTTTTCCTTATTTGTTACTGAGATGGGAATTAAACTTTCCTGATACATATTTTGAACAAGTGGTGTCTGGTACATGGAGAACAGGAAAATGTGACTATAGAATCGTTTCAGATTAAAATAATCGGATAGCTTTTTATGCTCGGACTCTTCTCAGTGGTGCCCAGTGACAGGACAAGAGCAACAGGCACAAACTGAAACACAGGAAGTTCTATCTGAATATAGCTTTATTTTATTTTAATTTAATTTAATTTTAAATTTTATCTTATTACTGTGAGGGCAACTGAGCACTGGAACAGGTTGCCGAGAGAAGTGGTGGAAGTCTCCATCCTTGGAAATATTTACGGTCCTGGGCAACCTGCTATACGCGTGATCAGTCTTGAGAGAGTTGGCCAGAGATCTTCCTGAAGTGCCCAGAGAGGTTGTGGAGTCTCCATCCTTGGAGATATTCAGAAGCCGTGTGGATGCGATCCTGTGCAATGTGCTTTAGGTGACCCTGTTTGATCGGGGGGTTGGACTAGATGATCTCTAGAGGTCGCTTCCAACCTGATCTAATCTGTATCTGAAGAGAAATTTTAAGCAATGATCATGTAAAAACGATTGAAACGCCTATGTAGAGGTGTTGAGTGTTTATCTTAATTTTTCTGTAATATGAAAATGTGCATGTTTGTATGATCTTGCTCTGCTGCATCTCTATTGAGGTGCATTTTCTATGAGAGGTGAGCTGAAATCAGTAATAGTTTCTGGCCATTCCTTAGACCCTCAACTGTGTCTAAGAAAAATTGTTTAATGCTCAACTACTAACTATCTTAAATCCTAGCCAGCACTAATATGTTAAGAAACATCTATTTTCCTGTAGGAGTCTATACAAAGAACAGAAATTTCCGGGTGTATAAATCATCAAAAGCAGGAAAAAATGTGATTCTGAAGATTGCTGAGGATAATAAGTTTGTCCCTAAATGTGAAAGGAACATTTCTTTGGAAGAAGCATACTTTCTTTCCTCTTTGGTCTGCAACGTTGGGTAATGGTTTAATTTCAGTGGAATTTAAAATATTTTTAAAGACACATTTGAATGATTTTTCTCCTACAGCAGTTATAAATAACTACATTTAGTGGGCAGGTGTTCCTTGAACATTGTTACAGTGTTATTTAGGAGTTTCTGTAAGATTCCTTGTTTTTGAAGGAAAAATTTGTTGGGAATCCATTCTCTTCACCTACCTTTGAAAGTCCTGCAAGTTTGAAGAACGTAAAGCAGCTAGTATGATTTCTGAGCTGTGCTATGTTTTTCTCCACATGCACCAAGAGTTCTGATTTGTCCAGCAATCTTTTATTGAAAAGTGCCGAAATTCAACCATTTTTAAGTTTGGACAGATTCTGTATAGTTCTGAAAGGAAAGATTACAGATTTTCAGTCAATTAAATATGAAAAATCTAAATATGAAGAGAAATTTGCAGTATATTAAAACAAAAAGGATTTTTGTATGTGTTTACTTGCCCTCCAGCTATCTCACTTCTGTACACATAGCTTCCTCTTCAGGTTGGCTACTGTTTAATATAAAAACTTAAGTTTTCTATGTCTAGTCTAAACTGAAAGTATCTTGCCATTAAGATACTGCTAATAACTATTGCAGC